GATGCTAAAATAACAATAGAATTTATAACTGATTTTTTAGCTGAGTTCGCAGAATATTCCCAAAAAAAATTTGGGGGATTTTTAAAAAACCATTTTATAGTTTACATTTTGAAAAATTCAATTGATCTTGATTTTTTCATATTAAAAATTTTAATAACTATTTTGATCACATTCTAAATATATTTTTATTTTATTTTAAGAACTGTTTCCATCAATATTCATATATCTTTATATTAGTATAAATGTGTTCCCGGTCTGTAGTTTCCGAACCTTGAACCTAGAAGTGCTTGAGTTTGATGAGTTTGCTAAATAACCCGTTTTCTAAAATTTCCAACAAATATACCCAAACTTAGGCATATTCGGGATATTTTGAAATATTTTTAAATGAAATTTAAACTTATACTTTAGAGTCAATAAATGTGAGGTTTTGTTCTCATGACATTTTAATACTTTTTATCTAATTCTTAAACTGAAACAAATATACCCAAACTTAGGCATATTGGGGATATTTTGAAATATTTTTAAAATGAAATTTAAACTTATCTTTTAGAGTCAATAAATGTAAGGTTTTGTTTTCATAGCTCTCTACATCTTTTTTTATATTTTCAAAACGATCGTTTTTTATTATCGAATACTATTATTTTTATTATCGAATACTATTATTTTTATTATCGAATACTATTATTTTTATTATCGAATACTATTATTTTGACATTTTAATACTTTTTATCTAATTCTTAAACTGAAACACTTTTTGGATATTTTTTTATTGTTTTTAAATTTGATTTTTAATTCGATTTTAACAAAAATCAGTTGACTTTAATATTGTTAAATTAATGTAAAGATGCAGTATTAGGATCATCTGTTATGATTTTTCCTAGATTTGTTTACAATTCTATAAGGTTGTAGATCAAATTGAAATGTATGCGTAATTGTACTGCATAATTCAGCATTTGAACATTTGGCATTTTATATCCTGATATTTTTCAATGTGGATTTGTGTCGATAAAGTTAAATTGATCTAAATCAACAGTTAAATGAAGGTTTATATACACCTTTATAAGATTTTTTTAAAATGTCGTCTTGATTTTTACTGGAGTTGAGAAATATATAATATGAAGGATTTTATGCGTAAATAAGCTCCAACTATATCATTGTATGAAGATTTTTGTCGTATTTCAGGGCAAATTATGTAGCTTTACAAAACATAAATTTAGAAAATTTCCGATAAAATCTTTAACTTTGACTAAAGCTGCGAGAAAATACAAGACAGCTTTAAGTTCAAATAAAAGGCGACATTTTATAAGTTCTTCCGATTCTTCAAGATTAATTTATTTCGTCTGGCCCGAATATTGTCTTTAAATGGCTTATTTAATGATTTAGCAAAGAGAGAAACGAGTTTACGGTTGAAGGGAATCATAAATGTAAGGAAACAGAGACAGTATACATTTCTTAAAGTCGTCTCTGAAGTTTTATCCTTTGTGGGTAACCCTGTATAAGTTTAACTGAGAAATGAAAATAAAGCTTTGATTCAATTAGTTCAATTATGTTTGAAGATTAACAAAACTGTGCTATGCTCCGATTGAAAAACAACAAGGATTTTTTAATTTTAAGTTTACAAGTAACCAAATAGAAGATGTTAATTACTGCCAACTTCTCTTTGTTTGCATTTTTTAGTGTTTCTGCTGTTTAAAAGCTATGGTATTCAAAATTAAAATCGAAAGTCGTCTTCATTGTATTTATATATTCGACGATTACTGTATATCAAATATCGAATTTTAAATTCTAATTTTACAAAATTTGTCAAATGAAAATTATGATTTTCTTGTGTAATTGGCAAATTTAAATATTACCAAAATAAAATATTTATAAAAAAAGAATTGAGTTTTGTCACAAACTCTAATTTTCTATTCCCTATATCATTGCGTCTTGACGATATAACCTTTGATATTTTAAACTAAGACTATTCGATTCTTTCATTCATTCTTCATCCTTTCAGCCTTTCATCCTTAGTTTCAAATATCTAAGGTCTACAACACTGGGTTGCAACGATAAAGGTATTAGAAAATCAGAGTTTGTGCCAAACACTCAATTCCTCAAAGTAGGAAAAGTATGAAAACTTTTGAACTTAGAGAAAGAATGCACAATTCAAAGCGCGAAGGGCCAATTATATTTCTCGCACTTTATTTTGCAATTATGGGTTTTCCTAAAATCTGGGACAAATCTCAGTGTAAAAAAGTGTTTATATATATATCTACAAGTTTATGTTAGATATTCAACATATGCTACAGTTAGTTATTCAAGTTCTTTTACAGTCTACACACTACACACATGAAGCAAATTATTAAGGTAAAGTAGTTTTTTAAGTTTTCAATTTTATTTTACTAGACATCTTCTATTTCAACTATTAACTGTGGCTCTATCTGTGAACATCTTCTCTTTTTACAATCATAAATAATTAACAAAAAAAGTTTGCAGATTTAATAGTTTTTTTCGCGCATTTTTAACATTTAGAAAAAAATACAAAACTTTTGGGCATAAATTTTTGTAATTTTGAGCATCCAAAAACCTTCCCTGGGTTCTTATAAGTTCGGTTTAACCGTACTGACGTTTATTGGATACAAACGATCAAAATAGAGCTGGAAAATATATCTATAGATTCGGTAACCTTTTTACAGTGTGTCCAACTAAACCCAAAAAATGAGAAAAATTTTAAGATCGTCTCTGATCTACAAATCTTTTTATTGACAAGGTTTTCCTCATTTTGAACATTTTTGTGCTTTAGGGAACAAAAAAAATCAAGTTTTTGATTTAAACATTTCATTTATTGTTTAATATTTGAATTCTCCAAACAAGTTGAGGAAGATACTTTCTTCTTGTCAAGGAATTATCTCGTTTTGTTGGAAAGACTTATTTTTATATTTTGTTAATTTCTGAACTTCTTTCTTGACTATATAACAATACAATTAAGTTTATATACTCATATTATTGCTCAGATGATCGATTGTTGTCCCTTTTGTTTTATTAATTATTTGTATATTTCAATTTCTATTATAAATAGTCCTTTGTAATTATCAGCAAAGTTGCTTCATATGAAGACGACATACAAAAGTCTTCTGCTTTTGGTAATGATATTATCAAAGACGATATTAGAAACGTTGATCTTAATAAAAAATTAGCTTAACTTAAACTATTGATTGTGAAATAAGGGCAAAAACTTAAACACAAAATTGTTGACTGATTCTTGTCTTTTTTGTCTCTACCTCTAAACATTTATAACTTGTAAATTAAAATAGAAATTATAAAATTTTAGAATCTCCTTTAACTATAATTAAATAATTTCATCAAAAAACTTGATCGATGAAGTTATCACTTCATCTTAATATTTGTACAGTAGTAACCAGAAAAGATTAACGCGTTTGATCTTTCAATTATTATAAGATGCTATAACATGTTGCCAAACATGTTGTAATTTACAAATAAAATTGCTTCCTAAAAATTGCTGGATAATATTTTAGTTATTAAAGTTACAAATTACAATACCATTCGCAACATCTATGAATTACGGGAAAGCATGAAGTCGACAAAAAATATCTAGACATCGTCTTCTTTCAGTTTTTTTTCTTTTTATATATTATTTATAATTGATTTACATTTTTAATTTATCTCTTTACATAATTTATATATTTGCATAATTTTTTGTTTATTTTTTCTATAATTTTCTTTATTTTTAAAACATTTTTAAAACATTTTTAAAACACTAATTATGTTTTTTTAGTATTCTTTTCCTTTTTTTATGTTTTTAAAAAAATATTTTTATTTACTTTCGCATACATGTATTAACTGTTTAGGTGTCAGCCTGGTTGATGGCAGCATTCAGATCAAAAATGACTATAACATTCTGACTTAAGAAGTTGGTTATACTTCTAAAAAGTTGGAGGGGCAATATAGATAGTTGTTAAGATATTCACTACAATTGGGTCTAACTGTTCGTGAATTTACTCAGGAATATATGAGATTATGTCAAGATATTCCTGAGGTAGGCTTGAGAAAATCTTGGGAATAGTTCCCAGGAAATTCCCAGGAATTGGTTCTGAAGAACTTTCCTCCACAAATTTGGTCGACATTTGCACAAGTTATTTTCCAGAACTGGTAACAAGAAATTCCCTGGAATTGGTTAAAAAAATTCCTTGAAATGTGTTACGAGAAACTCCTAAGAATGGGTTATGAGAAATTCCTCGAAATGATTTAAGAGAAATTCCTCGAAATGAGTTATGAGAAATTCCTCGAAATGAGTTAAGAGAAATTCCTCAGAATTTCTGTCAACATTTTCATCGGATTTTCCTGTAAAAAATTCCTTGAAATTTCCGCGGATTTTCCGCAAAATTGCTACCTGGGATAATAAGCGATTAAACATATTTTCTTTTTATCGATTAATTGTCCATCAGATTTTAGGTATCCTATGGCATCCTTACCTTGACGGGTAAATTTAGTAAGTCTTATCAGAGATACATGGTTTTGAAAATATTGTAATTTGGCGGATTTTCTTCATATTGAATTTTATAGAAGTACACCTGCAAGCTGGAGTATGAGTTAAAAAAATAAATCTTTAATTTAAATTTGTCCCCATACTGTTCCTTTTAACTCTAGGGTATAGTTGATAAATAACATTTTTTAAATCTGAAGAAGAATAACCTGTATTAATAACCTGGTGAAAGAAATAGATTTTTTTCCTCTCTTTTTTCTTCACTTTTCGTTTTCACTTTCCTTTCATTTTTTCCTTCCTCTTTTTTTGTCTTACATAATCTGCCTCCACCCCTTCTGGGTAGAAGGGGAGGCATGTGTCCCTGTGCCCCCCTCCTATAGATACGGGCCTGATAGATTCATTACTACTACTTCACTTCACAGATACTTTTTGCTTTTCATTAAATCTGGTTGGGCAGACTTTAAAGATATTTAAGTTTGTTGCAGGGATTCATTTCTTTGACTTAAAATATTTAAAAGTTAAATTTTGTGTTTGTTTTAGTCAATATTCGGAGCTGGGATGGATTCTGCTCGCTATGGTGGAGTAGGGGAGGAATGGGAGGAAATTCAGGTTTATAGGAGCAAAATATATGTTACCCACTCCCCCTACAACCCTCATAAATATTGGATATCCCCCCCCTTATCTCCCTCCCATAAAGTGTCAAATGCTGTGAATTTACCGCACTTACTTATGCTTTTTTGTAGCTTTAGACAGGGAGACTTAGAAAGCTAACAAACTTGTTAGCTTTAGTTTTTAAGAACTATTCCGCAAAGTTCTCATCAATTTTACGTGAGAGCTTGCAATTTTTGAACCCCTTTTTTAGGCTTAGAGGTACCTTTGTCCCTTAATTATTACAAAACTTCCTATTTTATCTATCAAAAATATCCCCCTCCCCATAACAAGGACAGCAATTGCGCCTATTTATACAGGTTACCCTAATACCAGAGGATGGGGAGTGTAAACCTATTCAGAAACCAAGGTATGAGAACTCTTATAAACATCAGAATTTAAATATACCCTTATACCAGAGGATGGGGAGTGTAAGCCTATTCAGAAACCAAGGTATGTTAACTCTTATAAACATCAGAATTTAAATATACCCTTGACCTGTTTTGTAATCTAAACCCAATGTTTGTGAAAGTCTGAAGCCTGAAGCCTGAAGAGGCTTTATAGTGGTTTGAAGTCAAAATTCATATTGAGGTTTCTAAATATTTGAACTTTGAACCTAACTGCAAGATTATATTTAGACAAATGCATTTGCAATTCAACTTATTTTTTTAAATAACTTAAATAATTCTTTAATTCTTTAAGCTTCTGTTTTTAACTAAAATTGTAACGATTCATAATATTTACTGTTAATTTTCAAAATTCCTTAAATCGCTAAACTTTCGTTTGTTGACGAAACTTTGAGCGCCCTACCACTCAATCTAATTTGAGAGCTTTTTAAGAACAAAAAAAATCGTTTAAAAAGTCAAAGCGAGGTTAAAATTTTAAAAAAACATTATATTATCTACTTTTGGTTCCGATATTTTTCAAATTATAGTTTTGGAGCTTTTGTCAGCCCTACTCTGCAATCCTGCTTGCAGTCAAAAGTTTCTGCGAAGTTGAAAATTAAATCCCGAAGTTTCAAGATGGTTGGTTACCAGCATAAACTGGGTATTCAAACAACCAATCTTTAATAAAATTTAAATTGAGAAAATGTCAGTTTGAAGAAACTTACAAAGATATATAGATTATAAAATAAAATTAGGAAAAATAAAGATAAAAAGAAATTTTTCTATTTTCATTAAAAGATCTTTAAACAAACTTATAAGTTTTGAAGCTGCATTCTTTTTTAAAATTTCAACCGTTTTTTTATCTGTTTAAAGTTTAAATATGTATGGTTGAAAATCCAAACATAGAATTTATAAAAAGATACATAAAGAAACCCAGATTGTGACACTCTTTTTTTAAACTAAACTTTGATTTCATTGTTATTTTATTATTATCTTCTGGGATTAAAGGTAAAAAAGAGACAAAGAAATAAGATTTTTAATTAGAAAAGAAATGAATTGAATATCGTGTTTGAATTTGATGTCAATTTAACAGAATCGAAAACTTTTGGATTCAGTTGGAGCTAATTGCTCCAACGCTTTAACTTGGAAACTTTTGGATTTGAGAGATGAGGATTCAAAATTACCGTGAGAAAAGAATAACAATTTTTAGATCACCCTTTAAATTAATTTGATTTAGTATTATGATGCCTACACTAGTAAGCCTGTTATCCGTAAAATGTTTTAACTTTCTAAATTATGAATTACAATGGTTATAATTCTTAGTCTCTCAGTTTTTATATTTATCAAAATACCCTGTACCTAGTTAGCTGGGTGAAAATTCTTATAAATTCCAACAGAATTAGGGTTTTAAATTATACCGTTGTACACCGCTGTAAAATTATATCGTTGTACACCACTGTAAGATTATACCGTTGTACACCGCTGTAAAATTACACCGTTGTACACCGCTGTAAAATTACACCGTTGTACACCGCTGTAAAAATACACCGTTGTACACCGCTGCAAATGTAGTTAAAGGGAATAATGTCACGTAAATTCAAGTTACCTCCAAATAAAGAATATTACCTCCGATTCATAACTGTACCCTTTGTACAACATTATCTGAGCAAACATGAGATAGATATTGTTGTATTCCCATCTTTTAACAACAATTATTATCAAATTAAAAATCATAATTTTTAGTCAGAAAAAAAAGGATATTCTGGTCTGCTCCATAGATTAATTAAAATAACAGATAGGACACTAGATGTCGTCTTTTCAAGATTTCTGTGTGTTTCGTTCACAATAACCTGGAAGCTGAAGCCCAAAGGAGTTACACGAAGCCGGCGTTTAACAGGCTTTCTCTCTGTCTTGTTCTACAACGACTACAGTAACTTCTTTGGGCTTTGCATCAAGGTTATTGTGAACGAAACACACAGAAATATTGAAAAGACGATATCTAGTGTCCCATCTGTTATTTTAATTAATCTATGGTCAGCTCAGTCAAATATTGAAATGGTACCATTTGGAATCTAACATGTAATAAATAAATATTCAGATTTCTTTAACTAAAAAAAATGTATTATTTTTTCTTTATTTAGACAAGCTCCAAAAATGATAGAACTTCATGAGGAACTGAAGAAAGTGGAAGTTCTACGGGAAAGCGGAAGCAAAAAATGTGATTACTACAAAGCAACTCAGGTTTTTATTTCTTGTAGTGGTACATGGATCAAACTGTTAGATCAGCGTGTAGTGCTTATAGTGGTACATGGATAAAACTGTTAGATCAGCGTGTAGTGCTTGTAGTGGTACATGGATCAAACTGTTGGATCAGCGTGTAGTCCTTGTAGTGGTACATGGATTAAACTGTTAGATCAGCGTATAGCGCTTGTAGTGGTACATGGATCAAACTGTTAGATCAGCGTGTAGTGCTTGTAGTGGTACATGGATCAAACTGTTGGATCAGCGTGTAGTCCTTGTAGTGGTACAAGGATTAAACTGTTAGATCAGCGTATAGCGCTTGTAGTGGTACATGGATTAAACTGTTAGATCAGCGTGTAGTGCTTGTAGTGGTATACGTATCAAACTGTTAGATCAGCGTGTAGTCCTTGTAGTGGTACATGGATTAAACTGTTAGATCAGCGTGTAGTGCTTGTAGTGGTACATGAATCGAACAGTTAGATCAGTGTGTAGCGCTTGCAGTGGTACATGGATCGAACTGTTAGATCAGCGTGTAGCGCTTGCAGTGGTACATAGATCAAACTGTTAGATAAGCGTGTAGCGCTTGCAGTGGTACATGGAACGAACTGTTAGATCAGCGTGTAGCGCTTGTAGTGGTATATGGATCAAACTGTTAGATCAGTGTGTAGCGCTTGTAGTAGTATATGTATCAAACTGTTAGATCAGCGTGTAGTGCTTGTAGTGGTACATGAATCGAACAGTTAGATCAGCGTGTAGCGCTTGTAGTGGTATATGGATTAAACTGTTAGATCAGCGTGTAGCGCTTGTAGTGGTATATGTATCAAACTGTTAGATCACCGTGTAGCGCTTGTAGTGGTATACTTATCAGACTGTTAGATCAGCGTGTAGTGCTTGTAGTGGTACATGAATCGAACAGTTAGATCAGCGTGTAGCACTTGTAGTGGTATATGGATTAAACTGTTAGATCAGCGTGCAGTGCTTATAGTGGTAAATGGATCAAACTGTTAGATCAGCGTGTAGCGCTTGTAGTGGTACATGTATCAAACTGTTAGATCAGCGTGTAGTGCTTGTAGTGGTACATGGATTAAACTGTTAGATCAACGTGTAGTGCTTGTAGTGGTACATAAATCAAACAGTTAGATCAGCGTGTAGTGCTTGTAGTGGTACATGAATCAAACTGTTAGATCTGCGTGTAGCGCTTGTAGTGGTACATGTATCAAACTGTTAGATCAGCGTGTAGTCCTTGTAGTGGTACATGGATCAAACTGTTAGATCAACGTGTAGTGCTTGTAGTGGTATATGGATTAAACTGTTAGATCAGCGTGTAGCGCTTGTAGTGGTACATGGATCAAACTGTTAGATCAGCGTGTAGCGCTTGTAGTGGTACATGGATCAAATTCATATATCTACTTGAAACATAAGTAAAGGGTTTGTATACTTCATATATCTACTTGAACAATAAGTAAAGGGTTTGTATACTTCATATATATACTTGAAAGATAAGTTAAGGGTTTGTATACTTCAGATATCTACTTGAAAAATAAGTTAATGGCTCGTATACCTCATATATCTACTTGAAAAATAAGTTCAGGGTTTGTTTGCTTCATATATCTACTTGAAAAATAAGTTAAGGGTTTGTATACTTCATATATCTACTTGAAAAATTAATAAAGGGCTTGTATTATCTATACTTCATATATCTGCTTGAAAAATAAGTTAAGGGCTTGTATATACTTCATTTATCTACTTGAAAAATAAGTTAATGGCTTGAATACTTCATATATACTTGAAAGATAAGTTAAAGGATTGAATACTTCATATATCTACTTGAAAAATAAGTTAATGGTTTGTATACTTCATATATCTACTTGAAAAATAAGTTAAGGGTTTGTATACTTCATATATCTACTTGAAAAATAAGTTAATGGCTTGTATACTTCATATATCTCCTTGAAAAATAAATAAAAGGATTGTATACGTCATATATCTACTTGAAAAATAAGTTAAGGGTTTGTATGATTCATACATCTACTTGAAAAATAAGTTAAGGGCTTGTATACTTCATATAACTACTTTAAAAATAAGTTAAGGGTTTGAATACTTCATATATCTACTTGAAAAATAACTTAAGGGCTTGTATACTTCATATATCTCCTTGAAAAATAAGTAAAGGGTTTGTATACTTCATATATCTACTTGAAAAATAAGTAAAGGGTTTGTATACTTCATATATCTACTTGAAAAATAAGTTAAGGGCTTGTATACTTCATATATCTACTTGAAAAATAAGTAAAGGGTTTGTATACCTCATATATCTACTTGAAAAATAAGTTAAGGGTTTGTATGCTTCATATATCTACTTTAAAAATAAGTTAAGGGTTTGTATACTTCATATATTTACTTGAAAAATAAGTAAAGGGTTTGTATACCTCATATATCTACTTGAAAAATAAGTTAAGGGTTTGTATACTTCATATATCTACTTGAAAAATAAATAAAGGGTTTGTATATTTCATATATCTACTTGAACAATAAGTAAAGGGCTTGTATACTTCATATATCTACTTGAAAAATAAGTAAAGGGTTTGTATACTTCATATATCTACTTGAAAAATAAGTTAATGGTTCGTATACCTCATATATCTACCTTGATTAATAAATAAAAGGCTTGTATACTTCATATATCTACTTGAAAAATAAATAAAGGGTTTGTATACTTCATATATATACTTGAAAAATAAATAAAGTGTTTGTATATTTCATAGATCTACTTGAAAAATAAATAAAGGGCTTGTATATTTCATATATTTACTTGAAAAATAAATAAAGGGTTTGTATACTTCATATATCTACTTGAAAAATAAGTAAAGGGTTTGTATATTTCATATATCTACCTTGATTAATAAATAAAGGGATTGTAAGTTTCATATATCTACTCGAAAAATAAATAAAGGGCTTGTATATTTCATATATCTACTTGAAAAATAAATAAAGGGTTTGTATACTTCATATATCTACTTGAACAATAAATAAAGGGATTGTATACTTGAAGGGGTTTGAGTGTGTACCGTACTATTAAATGCCATATGGGGACACAAGAGTAGCTTATCAATCTAGCTATTAATCAGGCTCTAAATGCCACAAAGTGACACAAGCGTTGCTTATCAATCTCGCAATTAATTTGGCTGTAAATGCCACAGAGGGACACAAGCATAGCTATTGAAAAAGCTATGGATTAGGCTCTACCTACATGCCACACAGGGACACAAGCATAGCTATCAAACAAGCTATGGATTTGGCTCTATAAATGTCACACAAGGACACAATCTATGGATTCAGCCCTAAATCCCACAAAAGGACACAAGTTTAGCTATCGAACAAGCTATGGATTTGGCTCTAAAGGCCTCAAAAGGACACAAGCATTGGCTATTTATCAAGCCCTTAAACAATCTCTACCCTAAACGAGGTATGACTTCAACTCGAATACTCAACAGGGGACAATTACTCTACACTGTAATCAAAGCAGATTTGATTTGATTTACAAAATCTATATGTTACATGTTAAGTTCCAATATGTATTCATAGTATTACGCAGGAATATAATCTAATCACATTACACAGCTAGTCTATAGTTTTACATATTTAAGGATTAGTGAGGATAGATATAACGTAGTTAAGCTATCTCCGCACATATTTATAAGTTGAATGTACGTATTAAAAGGGGTTTAAGCTAACCATGCTACATATTCATTTGAAACACAGTTCAAATGAATAATTTTGTTTTACGTAGAAGTTTACAAACATAGATTATAAATTATGTACAATGTACTGCAAGTTTACAGAATATCATGTGACCGGATATTTCTTACAGATGTTCATAATTGTCCCTTCCCNGACAGTTTCCGTCTTCCTATGTCCGTTGACATGTCCCAAATAAAATCCTATATGTTATAAACTGGAGACAGTTTCCGTCTTCCTATGTCCGTTGACATGTCCCAAATAAAATCCTATATGTTATAAACTGGAGACAGTTTCCGTCTTCCTATGTCCGTTGACATGTCCCAAATAAAATCCTATATGTTATAAACTGGAGACAGTTTCCGTCTTCCTATGTCCGTTGACATGTCCCAAATAAAATCCTATATGTTATAAACTGGAGACAGTTTCCGTCTTCCTATGTCCGTTGACATGTCCCAAATCAAACTTTATCAGGGAGCGTAAGCCCCGGCTCCTTGGTAAATAATTATCTATATTTGTTTTAATCCTCTTCATGCATCGAGATCTTGCCAGGATACATGTGTTGCATGAAACGTGTTGGGTCGTCTTTACATTGGGTAGTCCGGACTGGACGGTACAGGTTGTACCGGCTTGGATTATACAACTTTTATAGCGATATGCATGACTTCTTTGCAATAAATAACAAAACCACTTTTTAGACTTTAGAGCTGAAAATTGAGATAAATGCTTGATTTCCTCTTTTTGTTTATTATAACTTTATTTCAATCTTTAATTTGTATATAGTCAAGTGTCTAAAATTGAGCCAATCAAACAGCCAATCAGAAGCCAGGAAATTCGAACTTTTGCTGGCCATTTAATGAAAGAACTCTCATTTGTTGGAATCCAGTAAGAATATCCAAAAAGAGGAAAAAAGAGCGAATAAAGCGGAAATCAAAAGTGTCCACAGTCGATATTCAGATAATCTATCTCTATTAAGGGATCCAATTTCTAAAATTTTCACCTTAGATCAATTATATTTTGATTTCCCTTCAAGGTTTGGGGGAGAAAGTAGCAGCCCTGAACTTGCTGTACTGGATTCTACAGATCTTATGTGCCCTGGTAGCTTGGATGTCTGTTGCAAGGTAAATTTAAAGGGAGTGTTCATCTAGAAGTACACGATGTATCTTAGTAAATTCCACTCTTATTGTAGATTTTAAGAATTTTTTTGAAGTTTTCAATAAATGAGCGTGTGCTCACTCGTTTCTAGGATTGTGCTGTGTAATTGATAAAGACTGAAATGGTTCTAATGTAAAAAGTTGATGCATTTGGACAAACAGAAGTTTCCTTTTAGATTTAGAAAACTTTTTCTTTCGCATTTACTGTTTAAACATCTAGGGGGGAGGGGGGGCCGTGTGGGGGGAAATAACCCAATTAAGAAAAATCTAAAAAAAAATTTGAAGGTTGAAAATGATAATTATCTCTGTACACTGACCCCCCCCTCCTTCTCTTCCCCCCTCCACCTACCTCCCCTCCCCACACTTGTCCCTTGGGATACATAATGGTCCTGTAGATAAGGCAATACAATTACTCTTAATACACTTTCTTACTGAAAATAAAATAGCTTTTTCGATAAACTCCTTGAAAGAAAAAATACTTATTCTTTTATTGCACCTGCGCTGTGCTGAAATAAACATTAAAAATTGGCTGAAAGGGGGGGGGGGTTGTGTTAATTTTTTAAGTTCTTAATCTCGGCCACTTTGCATTGGAAGTCACATCATTTATGCGACATAACTGGAACGAGACTTGGTGACCTCTTGCTCCTCTAGTTGCGATTTTACGCACAATTTTGATCAGGTGGGATTATGTTCTCCAACGCAATTGTATTTTACTTGGGCGCAATTGCGATCCCTGTAAACTCCTAACAATTGCGCTCAACGGAATTGAGATTGGAAACCCTAGTTGGGATAAGTTTGGCGTGCGGCGATGTTTTTTTAAAACCATTTAAGGGTAATAAAGCATTTAAATGCAAGCTTTTAAACTTTTATGGTTTAAATATTAAAATTAGAGGCAAAAATGCTCATTTTTTTTGAAAAATGAAATTTCTTAGATATTAGAATCGAATTTTCAGGGGATATTAGTTCCAAAACTAACACTTTTCCATTTCCAACACTGAGCCAAATCTGCAAAGTTATCTTTTTCAAGAGTATATATCTTCAAATCCAAGTCGAGTAGAACAAAATTACACCATATATTTATAAAAAATGGCTAAAACTATATATTGAAACAATAAATGTCAATTTTTAACTAATAATAAGGTGTGAGAATTAGTTTTTGATGATTCTTGATTTCATTTTCGAACATATCCCTATATTGAAACAATTACCGGATTTCAGCTCATGTCGCGTTTTAGGAACATATCCTGGTTTTGAGACAATTACCGGATTTTAGCTTATGTCGCGTTTTCGGAACATATCCTGGTTTTGAGACAATTACCGGAATTCATATCAATGTCAATTTTCAAGTATTTACGCATTAATGAGACAAAAAAAGATTTTTTGATTTGATAAGGTAAAATATAAACAAAATAGAAAATAAAAACAAACTGTTCCTTTATAATTTAAAAATCATTACAGCATTTAGAAATCAAAATATTAATATCGTTTGTTATTTCAATATAGATTTAACTAGAAATGCGGAAAACTTTTGTTTAAAATGCTTGAAAATAAATCATCCATAATTTCTAATTTAACAGATAAAATGTGGAAAGCTTCTAGAAATAATTCAGAAGTTAATTTTCTATTGTGAGTACACCCACCCCAGGCTATGGAAACACAGGTAAACCAGCTCCTATTGTGAGTACACCCACCCCAGGCTATGGAAACACAGGTAAAAATAACAAAAAACCATGAAAAGATTTTTCCACAAACTCAGATTTTCTGCAATATTTCAATATTTAATCTGACAGAATCGTTATTTTCATAACATCTTATTACATTATTATATTTATATTTAAATTTCAAAACAACGAAACAATAATGTGAAAAACTGCAAGGGGCGCAAAGCTGCCTAAATTTAGTGATTTTTAAAGGGGCTGTGTGTAAACATATCGAAATCCGCGTGTATGTTCAGCTGAAAAATTCCGTGTGTGCTACGTTGAGTTCAGAATGGAGACTCAATGCGCTACTCAGTGCACATCGAAATTTTCAGCTGATCATACAAGCGGATTTCGATATGTTTACACACAGTCCCTTTAATCATCACTGAATTGACGAAAGGTTCAGTTGTAAATCGGACATTGCCCTCTTTAAATGCAGAGTCACAAGATTACGCTTTCAGTCCTTGTAAAATATTTTTTTCTAGAAGATTCCAGCGAGGAGGTTGAGGACGGAGGTTACAGAGGTGGAGGGGATGATGAGGATAAAAGTGATGAAGATGAAGAAGAAGAAGGTTATGGAGGAAATGCAGAGGACAAATCTAAAGATGGAGATGGTGGTTATGGTGGTGGAGATGGTGCTGCAGGTGGTAAAACTGGAGATGGTGGATATGGTGGTAAAGAGGGTGCTGATGGTAAGACTGAAGAGGGAGCTGGTGGATATGGCGGGGATGAGGCAGGGGGAGATATAGATGATGCTGTGTGCACTGGAGACTGTTCAAAAACAAAACTTCCATTAAAATTTCAAAGCAGGTAAGGACGCTAAAGATAAATACCATAAAATTAACTGAACCGACGCGCCGATGGAGACCAAATTTTTTGTGGATACTCATTTAACCACTTTGCGTAAAATGACGGAAGATTAAAATCTAAAATGTTTTCAATTAAGTTTATATCTTGAATATTTAATATGTAACCAATAAAGGAACGGAGTTCTTTCATAAACTAGTATTTTCTAATCTTTATATCTTTGAAACCCGATGTCGTAGATTTTTTAAATTTGAAAAGTATTCTTATGTTCAGTGCATGGAGTATGAAAGAAAAGCTTTATGCCTAGTAAAAAAATGTGATATTTCATAAAGTAGAAAAGCGTTTACTAGTAGTCCACTATTCTACTAGTCTACAGTGAAAAAAAAAACTCCGAAATAGGAAGACGACAATATAGGAATATTTTAGTGTATTTGTTGTTCTTACAAAGCAAATAGTTTTACTACACACTTTTAAAATCACTGATTAAGTGAAATGGGTCTGTTTACTTTGTACAATTGCCCTGTCCCATGCTGAATGGACTATTTAATGTCATATTTAGAGTCTAAAAGTCGTTTTCCTATTTCAGAGTTTTCTGGTTAGCACTGTACTAGCCAACTAATTCTGTGAATTAATTGTTAGCCTCTCCTTACATCCTATGCATTAGTTTCAACTCTTAAAAGGAATTGAGTTGTTGCCAAAAACTCAAGTTTTCTCCACCATATGCAATTTTTCAACCTGATGGTAAAGCACCTTCTATATTTCAAACTAAGATTATTAACAGAATTCATAGATTAAAATATCTAAGGTCTACGACATTGGGTTTGGTAAGAAATAGGGATTCAAAAATGTGTGTTTGTGACAAAGATTTAATTCATTTTTGGTGGTTGGCTACTGAAATGCATTTCATAAAATTTGATTAACTGTGTTTTAAAAATTTCAAATAGGCAAAACTTTGCTTGTGAGTATTTTTTCGCGAAAATCAATTTTGCGATGGAAGCAAAAACGATGCGGAATTTCGTACCAAAAAAATGCGACCATTTCTTTAAAAATTTCTCATTAATCTGTTTTGCGAAAAAATGAGAAATTTCCCGAAAAAAGGGAAATTTTTGCATTTTTTACTTTCTTCGAACGTAACGTGATGAAATGCGAAATTTTCTCATTTCGCTGGAAACCCTACTTGTGAGGTTCAACAAAAAATGAAGCTTGATCGGTAATCAGTTCAACCGTATTGACGTTTATAGGATTCAAACAAAACTACAAACCGCATTTATAAATCAAAGAAATATATATTGGTTTTTTAAATCAATAATTCCGTGATATTAAAAATTTGGTTTTAAGAGCTTCTCTTGAAATGTTGAAGATTAAAACTTGAAATAAATGGAATAAATAATTTTATGCAAACTATTCCCTTTGTCAGCCCTCTGCAAACAGACAATGGGAAAAAAATGTCGAGCTTGTCAAAATATAAAGAATTTATAAAAATATAAAAAATTTAAATTAATTTGATGGAAGAAATGTCTAAATCTACAAATAGATAAACAGACATAAAGAATTTCTTCTCATCTTTATACAGAAGTGTAGATTTTAAAAATCAGTTTTGAAAAATTTAAAAGTGTTTTAATTTAGGTGTGGAAGAAGAAACCTTTATGGACTTGGCGTTAGGGTCCAAAATTACAAGGTATCTTTTTTAAGATTTAAAAATTTCGTTAACCCCATAAAAGCAGAAATTTTTAAGTATAAACAAGAAATTTCTCAATTTCTTAATTTCTCATAAAAATATATAGTTTGTCTGACAAACAAACAAAAATTTCCTATTTTCCTGTACTTCATAGTATTTTTTTTTTATATAAAGTACGTGCACTTAACCCTATTTCTGTTGGGGGGACAATTTGACGCCTCCTGTAGTTTTTAGCATATCTCAAAAAGTATTGGTCTGAGGCTGTTGAAATTTTCTGAATTTTCCTAGGCACGCTGCCTCAATGACAAGCTTTTCCTGGATCAAAATAAATATTTGTTTTGACCCAATTTAAGTAATCAGATTTTAATAATATTTAGCTATTTAGATTTTTTTGCAAATTATTTACATACAACCAGTCAGAAGAATTTTGCACATTTTTTCTTTTCTTAATTACCCATCAGGTTATTTAAAATTTTGCAACATTTTTTGCATATTTGAATTGGTATGGTCAAGGGCTTTTCGAAAATGTATATTTTATCATTTTTTGCAAGCATTTTTATTATATAACTGGATTTTGCAAAAAATTGCAATTTTTTTGCAGATTCTAAAAGTAGAGCATAAGAGCTTTCCAATGATGTATCATTTGACATATTTGGACATCAAACANGAATAAAAAATATTATGAAATATCAACTATATACGAATGCGTCGAAAAAAAATCGATGGTTATAGGTTGTAATGTCTGAATGATTTGTTAGGAATTAAATTGATCTTTTTACAATCCGAGTCGAATATTGCAACTTTGTGAATTTCTATGGACGCTATGGTCTTCGGAATGAGTTGTGTTTAACAATGTTCTCCTTATAGACGCAAACCAATAGAAGTAAGATTAGTAGCTATGACCATCGAATATTTTTCAGCGTAAGCCTATACCCCCTTTCATTTTTTTGAACACTCCCTTTAAATTTCGGGCTCTGGTGCTAACAGTGAAACTATTTTATCTCTGTTAATTAGGATGGAGAGTCTCAGTTTGGTGAATGGCCGCATATTTGTGCAATTCTAAAAGTGCAGACCACCTCCTCAGGTTACGGGGTCTTTGAAGAGGTAAGATAAACTTTTCAACATGAAGGAATTCAAATACAAAAATTAGAAATCCATTACTTTTTCTCCTTCCTTCTAAATTACTTTGTGCTTTGTAATATGCATAAATTTTTTTAATTTCAAAAAATTAAATGTATGTATGAAACTTCGGAGGGCCAGTCAATCAAAACAGCTATAAATTATGAAATATAAAATGTATTGATTGTGATGCTATCCGAAATATACATATCTATCTATCTAAATATAATAATGTTACATTAACATTGATTTCTTATATTTTTAACTAGCTGTTGTGCCCAAGCGTTGCCCAGGTTTATATTATTATTCAAAGCTACTACGGCCATTTACCCGCACTTGGTATTAAATCATGATTTTAGCTGAAATGCTCGGCGTTGCCAATGGAATTTCAAAAATGTAAAACAAAATGTTACCCTAAGTCACCCCCGGGGTACCTACATACGTACATTTACTATTTAACTAGGGAACAATATTATTTCCAGATCACATGGTTTCCATAATTATTAGTATTTATTTTTAACGTTTTCCACCAATAACATTGTTAAAGACAGGATATAGTAAAAATGTTTTTTTAATTGTTTATTTTGTAGGTGAAAGTTTTTGCAGGCGGGGCTTCTTTAATAGCACCAGGAGTTGTTTTGACAGCAGCCCATAAAGTGAAAGATTTTGTGTAAGTTAAAAAATTGTATTATAAAAATTCTTGATAATTTATTTAAGACTAGGTCGGAAACCCAGCTTTGCCCATGTTACTCATATTATCTCCCGCCGTTTACCCGCACTTTTACTGGGAAACTAAATTTTCGAAATAAAAGTCGACCCACTCAACTCAGAATCTTAAAAGCAAGCATTCCATTTCATTGGCTCTCTTTAGTTTCCCAATCAAAATTTGAGGCAAATTGGTCCAGGTGTTCCTGAGTTATGATAGGACAAACTAACAGACAGATAGACAGACAAACATAAATTGCAACTTTATATGTATATAGAAAAGAGCCAGGACAGTTGATTGTAAGATGTGGAGAATGGGATACACAAACCAACAGTGAACCTCTTCCTCATCAAGATCGGAAGGTACATGTATACAATTACGCTTATTGTTCCTATAATGATGGACGATCGTTTAATATTATTCAATGATTGTCTAATCAAATATTGAAGTAAAAAATTGCAAGGAGCTCTGAATTTAAAAGGAGAAAATTAAGTTAAGAAATTGTGTAGATTCGTCACCTTGTGGGAAACTCTGTCTTATTAAAAATTATGCAATTTCTAAGTAAGAGCAAAAGTGAAATTGCTTATGATATACAAACTGAAGTTTATGTCTGGTCTAACACTACCGCTATTCGTGAATCGCAATTGTTAAATGAATTGAAATGTCAAGAAAGGGTAAAAAGCTGATTTTTCCATAATATTCACTCTTGGGTCAAAGCATTTGTATTGGTAATCCCTTCATATAAAAGTATTTTATAAATCCTTATTGATTTAATGGTTATAGTTTAATGCTTTCAGCTTCTACCAAATAGGAGCCAAACAACATCTATCTCTGCCAAGTAGAATGCATATCTACTGATTAAGCACTTAATAGCTTCGAAATAAAATTTTCTGCTATCCGCTATCAAGTTCATAGCTTTAAGAATTTAGCTTCCCTTATGGTGTAAAGTTGGTCTTGAGTTTATAAAACTTTTCCTTTTATCATCATGAATCTTAAAACTTGCGTTGTTCGAAAGAAATTCAGATATATCTAGAATTCCTTTATTGTTAAATGAGAGTGTTGAAAGAAAAATATGGAGGAAGATAAGTTTACTCTAACCACTAATCTTGTACGTGTGAAGTAGGTCAAATAGGTCTATGACAGGCTAGGTACTGTAAAATATGTTTACTCTAACCACTAATCTTGTACGTGTGAAGTAGGTCAAATAGGTCTATGACAGGCTGGGTACTCTAAAAAGTCTGGCCGAGGCAATTAAAGTTGACAGAGTCGGCATAGGATATGGTACAACAGGGGTCGGTGCGGTGTGAAATCAAATTGACCCTAGTCCACCGTGATACCACATTGATCCAGAGTGTGAAAAGTAGCATCAGTTGTCAAGACTGTGTTGACTTTAAAGTGTCGTAACACTTGTTGTTAGTTTTAGCTTTAAGATGTAATAGACAAAATTGTTATCGATTATTGTTTGAGAGCTTGCAACATTCTAATAACTGTGATAACATTGTTTTTATCCAATATTGTTGGTAGGTTAAGGAAGTTGTTCTACATCCTGAATTCAATATAAAGAACCTGGCTAATACTGCATCATTACTTTTCCTCGAGCAAGGTCATTTTTTCCTACAACATTGTAAATTTTAAGAAACTTTTAAAAATGGAACTGAGTCATTGTCACAAACTTTGATTTTCTCATCACTGTATCTTCGCAACTCAATGTCGTAGATCTTTGATATTTTTGAACTTGTAATTTCTTTTTGATCAAATAATCTAAGTTTGAAATATCAAAGTTTGTAGAACTAGTAGCTTTGAACTTGCTGCAGCTGCTCTGAAAGTCGCCATTTTAAATCTTTTCTTATTTTCGCGGATTTTTTGTTTAATTTACATTTTATGAATAATTAAATTTAGACATTTCCGGGCAATATTTTTCAACTTCGACTAGTGAGTTGCTACAAAAATGTTTAGCCATTTTAGCGTTTATTGGACACAAAGAAGCGTATATAAGAAAATATATGTCTTCCTTTTTTATACATAATAAGTTCTATAAAAAAAAGCCTGAAGACTATATGTAGATAAATCTACAGAAAAGGATAATTGTCTCGCTTTTTTATTATTGCCCAATTATAGATAGACCCACAGAATATATCTTTATATAAACATTTATCTTTTTTCTAAATATACAATATAGAGAAATATTCTAATATGTAGACAGTCAGGAAAATATTTGCTAGCTCTGATTTTAATATTTTCAGCAAATAGAATATTTAGATTTTGTGAAAACTTCATCAAAAATTAAATATGTACACTTTATCTGGAAATGCTCCATGCAGGCTATATCTTTAGTTTAGATGTTTTTTTTTACCATATTAACCCTATTCCAGCTAGGAAGGGGGGGGGGGGTGATTTNTATCGACACTATATGTTTTAGATTTTATTCTGGCCGAGCATATCGACACTATATGTTTTAGATTTCATTCTGGCCGAGCATATAGACACTATATGTTTTAGATTTCATTCTGGCCGAGCATATCGACACTATATGTTTACCTGATATAGGAGAAGAATTTGTGGATGAATCTGAGTGTTTTGTAAAGGTAAATTATTCAGCTAATCAGAGCTGGGAATCATCATAATCCCGATCGTTTGATCTCGATATCCTTTGATATTTTAATTATTCCTCTCATGAACAAAACTCCCTTCAACCCCTGACTGGGAACCATTAGCATGTACGGAATAAGAAATAAAGATTTAACTAATATGCAGAATAAACAAAAGATTGAGATCAAGAATTGATCTCGATATCCATAATACAGGAGTTCCCAGCTCTTAGAGAAGAGTTTTGGAAGTTAATCATGCTCAGCATTTCAAAAATTCACAATTTTATGAAATTTTGATGTTGTAGAATCTTAAAGCTTTATTTATTTTTATTTTTTTTATTTAATCAATTTTGATGAGAAATGAAAATTTTTCCATTCACACTTCTTGAAAACGTTGAATGGCAAGTTTGAAATAAATTTTAATAAAATTATATTTTCTTTATTGCTCAGGGTTGGGGCAAAGATAAATGGACTGATGGTGAATATCAAGTTGTATTGAAGGAGGTTTCCCTTCCAATGGTAGAAAGACAGGAGTGCTTGAGCTCATTGAAGAAAACCAGGCTTGGAAGGTAAGTTGATAATGTTCCGAAAGAAGATGTAAATTTGTCAATGTTTTACCCTGAAAATGAAGCCCTGCACGAAAATTCGAGTAAAATACTTTTTTTATTTTTTAACTTTTTTTTAAAATGGTAAATAATTCAATTTGGTGGTCGTCTTGTTCACGTACTTTGGGGGACGATAATTTGACCGCTAGATGTATCACGCAAAATACTTATCTGTATAGGTAGATAATTTATACGACCATAGTACGACCACAATTGTTGGACATCATGTGGTCGACCACTGTAATGTTGAAAGGAATGGCCTCTGAATACTGTACACCAGTAAACAAGCGAATGATATATTTTACAGAGAAAAGCTTTAAATGTTTTTAAAAAATGGTTAGTTAAGGAATATAAAGTTACCCTAAAAATTGATTTAAATTACGAATTAAGTGTAATTTTATATCTTTTATATCAAATTCTTAATATTTTGCAACATTTAATAGATTTTATCATGTTCTTAATTTCCAATTACAAACAGTTATTAATGAAAAACATGACATCACTGAAAAGCGATGATTAAAAATAAAAGTTTCAGATCTTAAAAATAATTTTTAGAAATTTCCGATTGGATCAAAGTTTTTTGTGTGCTGGAGGGGAGGTTGGTCAGGATGCCTGTAAGGGGGATGGTGGGGGACCTCTTGTCTGTCCAATGAAATCCAATCCAGACAGATTTGTCCAGGTATACAAACACACACAAATGACGTTTGTACAGTTGTACAGCATGTCTAATTCATAGCAGTTCCCTATAAACTCGTGACTAATCAAAGAAGCAGGACTTAGTTTTATTAATTTATGAACTACTTTGTTTGCAAGCTGTTTTATATCTAAGAAAATTCTTCGGTATTTGCGAGGGATTGAAGTAACGTCAGCTGAGTTGAGTTTACACTGTGCATTAGCGTGTAGACACCCCTTTTATGGAAATTAGAACACTATTTGAGAGAAATATACAGGGAGTTCTCTGTCCTTGATGAACTGCCCAAAAGCATGAAGGGTCACTTTCAATCCACTGCAAACTAAACAGAAGGAGAAGGTCAAATTTATGCGACAGTTACATTATTAACAACTTTGTGACAGCTTATAGCTCATCTAGTTTTGATTTTACGCACAAGTTTGAGAAAATCAAAATATATCCGGTTACATATTAGAAATATATCCGGTTACATATTAGAAATATATCCGGTTACATATTAGAAATATATCCGGTTACATATTAGAAATATATCCGGTTACATATTCCAGTTACATATTAGAAATATATCCGGTTACATATTAGAAATATATCCGGTTAAATATTATATATCTGTTTACATATTATTATAAATATATTCGGTTACATATTAGAAATATATCCGGTTACATATTAGAAATATATCCGGTTACATATTAGAAACTTATCTATTTATTAATTCTAACTGTAATTTTACTTAAGGTTGGTATTGTAGCGTGGGGTATTGGTTGTGGTGACGCTATCCCTGGAGTTTACACATCAGTGGAACATATTGGATGTTGGATAGATTATACTCTCAAGTGCAAACTTGGAGATAATTATCAACTCAGGTAAATTAAGATTTACATTTCCTTCTGGATCAGTTGGATTTCGTTAACCATCTAACAGGGAGATTTCAAAAGCTCTGAATAGTCAACAATTCACGCCCAACCGAAGAACATTTGAATATCCGAGCTGGGCCAACCTTTGCACTCCTAGCTTTTACAGTTATTAAAGCGGCAGACCTGTGTGAATTGCTTGAAAAAAATAAGACTGTAACCTTTGAAACCCCTTGGACCTAAATAACATAATAATTTTTTTATATGAAATTAATCTTGAATGTTTATGCACTCAGTTTTGAATAGTTTCACATCAATGCAATAATATATTCTTTGGGGGGAAAAAACAGCTGTTGAACGAGCAGTTGAGTTTATACTCAGCTAAGAATAATTACTGAAAACTTTTTTTACAAATTTTATATCTTCAGCCAATTTTAGTTTATACATTTTAAAATTCAAGTTTTTTTTCAACCCCTGGAAATGCAAGTTGTTATATTACTTTTTTACTTCAATCATCACATTTACACTTTTTATATTGTTTTTTTGTCTTCTGCCACTGTAAGAAATAAATACACATTTTTATAGCAAATCAAGTAAGAAAAAATGTTAAACCCAGTGGTTGAAAGAACAAAAAATTGGTAAAAAAGTGGAAAGTCACCCTGGTCAAAAGCGATATTAAACTAAAAAGTACAATCACAGCGGTTGAACTATTTTCAATTACACACAATTAATCTAGAATCAAGATTCAATCAATGAACTATTCAGTCTTACAAAGCCCAAAACACTATTTTATTTATTTAATTTTCTGTTTTAAAATTTACCATCTTTAACACAGGAAGAGAAAATTGTATACACAAAATGTAGAGTTAACTCTTCCTGTAAACATTTGCATAAATTTGAATATTACATCCGCTTAAACTAAAAATGGATGCACAAATGGGATAGTAATGCAAGTTACACAAATTCTTTCAACCTAACAAAAAATCTTGATTTAATGAAGTTTCAGTGAACAAATCTGAACAATCCTGAAATGTAAAATTCCCAAAAACCATCAAAAATTCTTTTCTTTTATTCAAATCTTTTCTAAAATTATACTTTAAAACACTAATCTTTTTTATTCCTTTCTTTGAACAATTGTGTTTTCTCAAATTCATTGATTTCACAGAGCAAATTGATTGATTGAATATTGATAATAAACAGAACGAAAACTAATGCTTTTTTATACAACCATGACATTAATCACAATTTCACCCTGACTGACTTCTGCACCTACGTAACCAGAGTAACTTCGCATCAGGAATAAAAAACTTCCAGTCAGCTATAGTAGGTCTCAATTACATGTGCTGGTTCAAAAGCTTGATACACAGGAAACGTATTTTACACTTCTCCACTACCCAGGGAGCCGGGGAAGGCAGACGGCCAAAAGCCACAACATTTTTCCTTCCATGCCATATATAAGCTTTTTTGTCTTTCAGCATGGTCATGAGCCACAACCATACAGTCTACCATGCCACAGCATTTAAGTCTTCTGGCAGTTATATATGTTTTAAAATGATAAATTTAGTACATTCAAATTGTGACTTTCATAAATCCAGCGACGTCATGCAAGATTTGATATTTGCAAGTTGCCTGAAATCTCTTAATTTGTTAAAATTTTTGCCGTTTTAACAGCTATAGGATAAGTTCTATTAGGTATTTACAAACTCCGATTGTTCCAGAATAAAAATTTGTTTAAACCCTAGTTTAATTACTTATATTTCAGATATGGTACTGAGTGTACTCCATGGCTCCAGGGTAAACAGAATAACCCCAAATCCGCAACTGCGTACAAGTGTACTGTACAGTGGACAGACAGGGAGAGATCAGTTGATGACTACTTGTCAGGTGGAGGTGAGGCAGGACAAAGCCTGCCGGAGAAAATTCAGATCCCTGCTGGATATTAATTATTTAGAAATGACCAAGAATGTAAGGCAAGGAAAGTCAATTGCGGTTGTGTATACTCTGTGTACATATTGAAACCAGTTCTCTCTGGGCGGAATTTTTAAACAATAATAGATGCATCAGTGTTCGTTTAGTATCCGAGGAGGTTAAAAGCATTAAATTTTGATAATTTTGATAATATTCACATAATAATTTCCTATGACCAGAATATTTTATTGATTTTTTATGTGAATAATGGATCCCATGTCAGACTTTGACATCCCTCTTGTGTTTACATTAGCGCCCAGAGACAGTACACTGCAGTACTAAAGATGTGTACACTTCTGAAATGACTTTCCTTGCCTTACATCCTTGGAAATGACAGCCTGTTCTCTGTTTATTGAAAATATATCATGTTTATTTTGAAAACCAGTAATAAGATTAGGGAATAAATTTGAAGCAAACAATTGATAGATTTTATATTTTTTGGGGTTTAGATTGGCATTTTCAATGCATTATCTTTAATGCCAAGTGCTTCTTAAAATTGTTGACCTCAAACAACAGAAAGTGGGTCTAAATAAAGATGAAGTTGGTTTTAGAATTAAGTAGTAATTGATGTACTTTGCCTACAGATCTTGATAGTTGGTAAGCAATGGGTATAAATTATTTGTAAGGACATAAAAAAGCATGTTAACAGCCACAGAACAAGTCTTTTTAAGTTAAGTAGCAATAAAGAAATGACATGAATCCCGCCCCCACTACTCAGGAAAATACTGTATAGTGATTTATAAAATAAAACTTAAACCTGGTTATCGAATCATAAAATGAACATATGGAGTCAAATGATTAAGAAATATGTTCATACACATGTTGTAAATGAACTAAAATAAATAATGATTTTTTGCTTTTAATATATACACGTGTTATTTTTAAATATAAAGCAGCTCAATGAAGCTTTGTCTGAATGGTAGTTAATATTAAAAACTTGTATATTCTGATAATCCATTATTCTGTTGAAACATAATCTTGTACCCTAGCTTGTAGGGCTAATTAGGTGGTTTGTTTTTTATCTTTGTGAAGAAACAATCTCAAGAACTGACGAGGGTCAACCCAGACCGAAATATATTTTCAATAAATGTGGAACTAACATCTACTTTTTTACTCTACAGAGGTTTGGTCCATCACCATCACTGAATTTTAAATCTAGGTGGAGATTGTAACTTCTGTAATCTTGATTTTGTTAGAACGCATATTGATCAATGACTTTTGTTGTGTATAAGCTTAAGTCAATTCCATTTTGAATATTTCTGAAGATTTTCCTTGATTCTCAGATTTAAGTTCAGACAAAGTTGACAAGCACCATAATTAACCTAAAATCTTAATCCCTGGATTAAGTAGGTAAACAGTAGACTGAAGGATTAAATTAATTGTTATTGGGTATCCTTGTTGAAAGTATGCCTAAAATTTAGGGATCAATTTAGAGGCATAGTTTTAAAATTTGAATATATTACTAGAGTAGATAACTAGATCTCAAAATGTTTACAAGCAGTTTTGGCCTTGGAAAAATAACAAAGCATAGGTTAAATGTTACATCTGATTTTGATTTGATTAATTGTATTATTGTAGATCAAAGTGCTATCCTAATTGCATGTTAATGCCATGTCTTGTGTCATGCCATGAGAGGTTTTGCAATGAGACTGTTAAGATTTCCTGAATCATTACATACCTGCAATTTAAAGAAGTAATGAGATTAGAAAAAAAACTTTATTTAAGTTTTAAAAAATTGATTTGCAAAAACTTAATCTAAAAAAAATCTAAACTTTTAATTAAAAAATTGTATTGTGTGTGAATAAATCTTTAATAATTTATATTTTGATCTGGGTTAAAACTTGAAGGAACATAATCCTTATTCATAAGATTGTAAAGTTTCACCATATTTTTTAGTTTCAAACTTTAAATCAACATCTTCTTATGCAGCAAAATATGAACCATAGACTTTTCTTTAAGTAAAAAATTTCCTTCAAGAATTAGATATTTTTGAGTGAAATGTCAAATCTAATTGATATAATAGAATAAGTTGATAGAAGCAATTTACTATAGATCTTAACCTTAAAAAAAACAGCTGAGCAGGGGGAATTATTTCATTTTTATATCATGGGATGATGGGGCATAGCATCAATCTCTGTAAAAGCGAGATAAATTTACATGAATCTGAATTTATCTCAACGAGTTCAGGGATAATTTTTTTTAAATCATTTTTATTTAACAACACTACTGGTCCAGATTATGGGCTGAAGAACACTTTTGTGAATTGTTATTAGGACAATTTTGCTGTAGGGTCACCTAAACTCTTTTATGCAATTGAATATTTATTATTGTACAGTTAAACCCAAAATGAGCCATACATCGAAAGAATTTATTAAATGTCGTCTTGACATTTTTTCAATTGGTTTTATACTATTTTACGTAAATCTCAGTGTGCGAATATAAATAAACAGCCATGAATATATATGGGAACAGTTTTAAAGAGCTAAATATATTCATTTAATTAAAAAAACTTTATATCTGCAATATTCCATTAACAGAAAATTAAGAATATGACATTTGATGAAAAAACTCAATTACAAAATACAATTACAAAATTAAAGATAAGATTTCTATTAAAGAAAATTTTCCAAATATATCTGTACAATCCAATAAATTTTTTATCTGTTTCAGTGTTAAGTAGAACCATAATTGTCTATTCTATAGTTTCATTTTATTTTCAGTTTTTAGTTTAAAAATTTAACTATTTAACTGCAAAAGGTTATTCCATTTTAGAAGACCTTATGGTTTAGATAGCAATTTAAAGTCAGCAGGTCCTCTTCCTGAAATATTTCAGTTCTGTTAACAAAACAGATGGTTTTTGAAAATTAACGGCAGAGTTTGTTAACAAACGGCGAGAACCGTTAGTTTTAAATTTTTGAACGTTGTCTTGAAAACTTCTCCAGCTATTTGTACATGATTAATCCTTTACGACTGGCACTGTTAACTATTTCAAAAATATCTGCCATTATCGCAATAAACAATATTAAGATTATTAACAAAAAGTAGCTTTGAAAAAAATGGAAAATTCCCCCAACGAAATGAACGGTCCGTTTTTAGCTGAAAAACAAAAAGCTACTTGAAATGTTTTAACTTACTGATAACGAACGCCTTGAAACAAGTAAGCATGTGCCCAGCCCTAGTAGGTTGTAGTTTAGCAGTCTCTATATTATCTCTTAAGTGTTTATAGTCTCTTTATTGTCTCTGGAAATTATCTTCTAGTGTAGTATAGTCTTTTTATTGTCTTTGAAAATTGACTTCCAGTGTTGTATAATCTCTTTATTGTCTCTGGATATTGACTTCTAGTAGTGTATAGTCTTTTTATTGTCTTTGAAAATTGACTTCCAGTGTTGTATAATCTCTTTATTGTCTCTGGATATTTATTTCTATAAGTGTAGTATAGTCTCTTTGTTGTCTCTGAAAATTGACTTCCAGTGTAGTATAGTCTCTTTATTGTCCCTGGAAATTATCTTCTAGTGTTGTATAGTCTCTTTAAAATTCAGTGATGGTGATGGACCAAACCTCTGTAGAGTAAAAAAGTAGATGTTAGTTCCACATTTATTTATTTATAGTCTCTTTATTATCTCTGGATATTGACTTCTATAAGTGTAGTATAGTCTATTTATTGTCTCCGGAAATTATCTTCTAGTGAAGCAGTCTTTTTAATGTCTCTGGATATTGACTTCTAGTGTCGTAAAGTCTCTTTATTATCTCTGGGTATTGACTTTTAGTGTTGTATAGTCTCTATTTGTTTCTGCTGTGTGTATCTTAGTGTATAGCAGTCTCTATTTATCTCTGCTGTGTGTATCCTTGAGAAAGAGTCCCTATTTGTCTCTGCAATGTGTGTATCCCAGTGTAGCAGTCTCTATTTGTCTCTGTGTGATCACAATTACTACTTTGTGCCAATTTTATGTCATGTTAAGGAAACAGAGTACTCGAGATTATTCAAGAAAATCAATTCAGGTTCTAGATACAGCAGTACAGGGTGTCCCAATAAACTGGAAATTGAGTGCCGACTTTAATATCGTCTTTTATCCATACGGCATTTTTTAATGAAAGCACAATTATTGCAGTACTTCAGTTCATACATCTAATATCGAAAACACCTAGTGATCTTCATATTTTCAAAATTTGGTTTACTATTTCTGTATCTTCAAAATTTACAGAGATATTGCAAAATTTGTACAAATTTTAATTTAATCAATAAATCGAAATTGATATAATGTCCTTTTTGTCAATTTTAAGGACACAAGAAAGGTATAGACCACTTTATTAAAAAACTTTTTTTAGTCTTGCATTAAATAACAGAAATCAAAGACGACTTTCAAGTCGTATCTCAATGCCAATGTTTATTGGGACACCCTATACTTTCGATATGTGATATCTGATTGTACACCGGGAATTCAGGTTCTAGATAAAGCAGTAATATAGATAGGTGATATCTGATTGTACAACGGGAATTCAGGTTCTAGATAAAGCAGTAATATAGATAGGGGATATCTGATTGTACATAAGGAGTTCAGGTTCTAGATACAGAAGTAATATAGATATGTGATATCTGATTGTACACCGGGAATTCAGGTTCTAGATACAGCAGTAATAGTGATATCTGATTGTACACCGGGAATTCAGGTTCTAGATACAGAAGTAATATAGATAGGTGATATATAGTAATAAATAGTAAAGACTTATGATAGTTGGAGAAATGTGAAAGAATCAAATATTTTCTCAGAATACATTGTTGGACTGTATATATTCAACATATATATAACATAGGCAAAAAAATCCTATTTAAAACAATTCCACGGGCAACGCCGGGTACTTCAGCTAGTAATAATAATAATAATAATAACAATAAAAAATATGAAAGAACGTACAGCTGAATCTTTAATTGCAAAGCGCACTCGAGTGTAAAAGATAATTATTTTTAAAAATCAATTCTTGTCTGGACTC